TTTATTTCTCTTTATTTTATTAAACCAAATTGTTATTTTAAATTATTCTTTCTTCAATTAGAGAATTATCATCATTATTCCAATTATCATAATGAATAGATTTATTCTCATGTCTCTTGTTCCATTGCTTGGATTTGGTGGATAAAGACAAACGTCTTCAATACATCTATTGTTGATATAATCAAATTTATATCCTTCATCACAATATGCCAATACACATTTTGTACTCCATTCTCCATTATCTCCACATTCATATCCTCCATGTCCATGTTCGATATTAACTTCTTCATCACATTTTTCATCTCTTTTAACTAATCTTTTATTCTTTGGATTACATTTCGTTTTATTTATCTTATCGTTTGAGAATTGATAAATATTCACTCTTTCATCAATCATATCTGTTAAAAATTCTCTTGGAATTGTTTCATTGTAATTATAATTAAATCTGCATGTTTCTCTAACAGTTAATCCCAATTTATATCCATATTGTTTAAAAATATTATTTGAATCTATTTCAGTAATACTACGAATATTATTAGATGGTGATAATCCTACTTCAAATTCTTCATCTTTTCCATATGGATCACCATCAAATCCTACAATAATAGCTCCTCCCCATTCTTTTAATCCTTTTGTTACCAATGAACATGCTGAATAACAATATGAATCTGTATAAACTACTATTTCTGTCGGTTTTCTTGGATGTTTCATCGATTGCTTTATTTCAGGAACATCATTAAAAGAGATTGTTTGTAGTATTTTCATAAGACTAACTATTGATGGTTGTGTAACATTATGTTCAACATCTTCATATTTAATAGTTCTATGGTTTGTGTACCATTCTCCAAGTGTTTTTGGATTAATTTCATTTTCTCTGCTTTCACATGTTTCTGGGTCATACATATATAAAGCATATCCTTTTTTCATTATATCTTCTGTAAATTCTGATATTCTTGCTGAAAGTATATAATCAACATCATCATATGGTGATAATGCCTTTTCGATTGTTTGTGCAAGTTTCACCAAACCTCCTCCATTTTTTGGGAATATTACTTGAATTGGATAATCATTTGAATCAAACTTATCAAGACATTCAGTTAATTTATCCAAAAAATAGTACCCATTAGAAATAGCATCAAAAGTATTTACAATCAATGTATTTACTTTGTTACTTGTTGTTAAACAACATATTTCTTCGTTATATTCAGAACAATTAGGTTTATATTCATCATTTTCTTGTTTTATTCTTTTTCTTTCATTTCCTTCTTCAAAATCTTCTATTCTTATTCCACCTCTTATTCCTCTTCTTTTACTTCTTTCAAGTACTTCTTGGAATTTCTGATTCGTTGGATTAAATTTCATTATATTATAATTAACTGTTAGACTTTCTCCATTTTCCCATGTAATTGTTATTGGTGTATTTAAATATTCTTTTGTTAATGGTAAATTACTCAATGATCCAGATGTTATTGCTGATTTTGCTTTTGTAAATTGTGCATGTGGACATTTTAGTCCTAAATATTTCTTTCCAAATTCTCGAATAATATTAAATGGATCTTCTCCATTTATTGTTTTAACTGGTACATTCTGATTATTTACAATTTCTTCTGGTACATCAACATTAGTATTAAAAAGAGGAAGTTTATTTAGTGGATTTAAATACATTTTCTTATCATTATCAATATTTATTGTAAATGGAAGGAAATAAAAAATAAACAAGTTCTGAATTTGGTTTTTTAAGAGTATCATCTATATTAAACCCTAAATGAGAATCTCTTGTTGAAATAATAAGATTGTTTATTTCTGAGTAAAACTCATACAGACTTGTTGTTTTTGTATTTATTTTATCTAATTCTGAATCAATATCCACTTTCTCATAATAATTATTTGAAAATGATGGTTGTGGTGGATTTTTTAATATGTCTTTAAATACATATGCATTTAAATAATATTTCAATCCATCAATAATCTCAGTATTTTCATCCTCTGTTGTTTGAATGGATTCAATACATTCAAATGCACTATCAACAGTATCTAGTTCAATCAATTCAGTATATTCACTACACTGTTTTGATAAAGAAAGAGTAATAAATAGAAGTAATACAATATTCATATTTAATGATTATATCGTTCTAGTTTTATGTTTAAATATTCAATTATCCTTTCTTTCATTTACCTTATTTTATTATTTATTCATAACTTCTTCAATTTCTTTTTTCTTTTTTATTCTTTTTATGTTTATTTTTATTTAAACATCACTCATCATTCTTTTTTTCATGTTTTATTCTTATTTTTAATTAAACATCATTCGTTTTTGTCATATTTGTTTCCATTTTATAGTTATTTATTTTATTGTTTTTACCTTATTTCCTTTTCTTTATTTTCTTTATTTTATTATTTTACCCCTTTTTTATTTGTTTGATTCTTTATCTTTGTCTTTCTTTGTATGAAAATATTAATGATTTTCTTATTTCTTTTATATTTTATTCTTATTTCATATTCATTCGATGGTATTGTTAATTGCTTATAATTTGAATGACATTTTCATATTTATTTTACTTATTTAAATTCTTCATCAGTGATTATGATTAGAATTTATCAATATGAAAATAATAAACAACAATGAAAGAAATGAAGATGAAATAAATGACAATAAATAATAAAATAATAATCAAATGAATAAATACATGAAATATAAAACAATGATGAAATGGTTAATATTTAATATTTCATTTTATTATGAATTATTTTTCATTTTGAAATGATAAATAAATCATTAATAAATAATTGAAATAAAGAAGAAAAGAATATAGAAATAAAACAATTATTTGATTAATATAATCACACTTATTTATTAACAAGAAATGAAAATATAAAATAACATAATAAACATAAATTATAAAGATAAATTCAATTGAAATATAATTATTTTAATTTATACAATTATTTAACATTTCATTTATACAATATTTCAAATGATAATATATAAATAACAATAAAATGATGAAATTAAATATTTAAAATAAATGAATAATGTAAATAACAATTCAATAACATGATAAAAGAATAATAAAATAAAATCTAATTAATTTATATTTTTTATTTATCTTTATTATTATATTATTATTACTCTTTTATTTTCTTCCTATTCATTTTGTATATTTATTCTATTATTTTGTTTATATTCTTATAAAATTCTCTTTATTCTTTTATTTTTTTATTCTTCATTTCTTATTTTATTTCTAATTTTAATATTCAATTATTTTAAATTAATTTCCTTCACTTAAACAATGACACATTCATCATTATAGTATATCTTTTTCAATACCTCATTCTTTTTCAATTCATTCGGACATCCTCTAAAACATTCATATCCTATTTCACTAACACTTGTTGGTATATTAATTGCTGTTAATTTTGTACATCCAGAAAATAATTATTTACTATCACTTCAATATTTATTGGTGTATTGATTTGAAGAAAAACATTCATCAGATATTCCATAATTTTTCTGGTACTTTCTTTCCATATTTTCTATGTCTTTTACCTAAAAATATTTTGTTGTTTTATAGTTATTTCATCTTCTTTAAATAATGTTGAATGAAGAATTGGTATTCTTTCTAAATTATTCCAGTGATGTTTATTATTCTTTTATTTTATCATTACATAATCATAAAAATAGTGTTTTCTTTCGTTTTCAATTTTTAACGTGATTATATCGTCATTTTATCATTTGATATTAAAAGGCAACGAAAAAAAGCAAATAATTGAAAAAGAAGAGAATGAAAGATATAAAAGAATAAAAAGAAAGTAAAAAGTAGATGAAGATGAAGAAAGAATAAAAGTAGAAAGGAGAGAATATAAAAATAAAGAAGATAAAGTGTAATAAAACAAAAGAGATGATAAAAGAAGAAAAGAATGAAAAAAATAAAGGATGCAAATTTTATTGAAACAAATAAAAAAAACGCAAAATTTAATGATGCAAAATTTAATGATGCAAAATATTTAGCAACATTTTTATTGATGCAAAATATTTGAAATA